TGCATAGTATTTTAAAAAAACACTTAATATTCATTTTCTTTCCCATCTAGTTTTTATTTATTTTTTTTTAAAGTTAAAATCAATAATAAAAAATAAATAGGATAGATAGATAGATAATATATTAAATAAATAACTCTATTTTTTAATATTAAATGGTTAAATTGAGACCAGACCACATTCATAAAATTTAATAATAAATTTTTTTTTAAATTTTTATAATGGTTAAGTAAATAAAATATATAGGCTTGCCTATTAAATTATTTCTACGATATTTTTATGTTGTAAATACTTTATTTATATCCCGTTGTAAATTTGTAACTTAAAAAAATATATATAATTTTAATGTTATTCTCGTATTTTGCGAACCTAAAAAAAAATTAACCAATATACATTAATCTTGGTATAAATTGAATATTAATAAGAACAAATGTTGTTATAATTTCTCTTTTTTTATTGAAGTTTATCTAAACTAAACAAAATTAATGTTATTAATTATAATAAAATTCGCAAGATACATAGCCTTATCCAGGATTTTCCTATATAAGATAGGGGGGGATTATTAGGGGTTATTTTTAGCCGTAAATTTTATTGGAGGTCTTAGTCTACTTACTGTAGAACTTAGATCTTTGGCTATATTATATTTTTATAAAAATAATTTGATATATTTACATTCTGAGTGGGGAAAAGGGGGGGGGGGGGGGTTGTTAGCTTAAGATGATATATATGGGAACAGACAAATTTCGGATGGGGAAGGAAGGAGAGGGGATTTTATTTATAATTAACAAAATCTATTCATAATAGAACATAGATCATCAGCCTCGTAGCCATAATAGAGCCACGGGAGTTTGGTATGGGGTAAATTGGGACTGGATACGTAAAATTAATTTGACCTAATAATAAATAAGTGGTTGAGTCGATTGAGTTGGATAATGGGTAATATATCATAAATACCAAGTAATTTTATATAAATAGTATAAAATATTGGGTAAGTGTTTAAGTGATATTATACATGCAGGCTGAGATGGAGAAGGAAAAAAATGGACAGGGGGGGGGGGGGGTATTCCAAATTAAAATGGTCGCCAATTATATAACATTTATTTAACCGAGGTAACATTTATAATATACGATTAAACATAAGAGAAGAAAGGGACAGGTTATTCGAGTTTTGATCTGCCCTCCCCCACCCCCTCCAATGTTTGAAGATAATTTGATTGGTGGCTAACCCTCTATCGTATGTTTAGAATTTATTAAGCAAGGTAAATTGGTGAAAAAAAACACATCCGAAGATATGTTAATTTTTTATATAACCCAATAGCAACTCATTTTTATATGAGATATGTTTTCCTGATATTTTGTTTAAAAAAAAATTTTGAATATATTGTTTATTAATTAAATTATGACAAAGATGGTATTGTTTAAATTTATTTTTCATAAATTATAATATAAAGTTTATTTCATAAAAAAAAAATTTATTGTGTTTACAAAATATAATTACGAAAAAATAAATAATTAAAATTTAATTTAAGTAAATTATTATTTTTTATAATTAATTAATTTTTAAAATTTAATTCTGAAAAACAAGTATAGATAGGCTTTAATGACTAAAAATAAGCGATTTCGGTTCATTGAGATGCGCGTCGAAAAAAAATCCTTAAGCATTGCAGGCTCGAGTTAATTTAATCAGGCTTTCTTAAATTTAGAAGATTCTTAAGTAAAGATTTTAGCCAAAATTATCTTACACACTACTTGAGATTTCGATAATAAATGTTCCAACCCTTTCTGCGATCTATGAATAAAATCTCATTGCGTAAAAACTAAGTTGCTTTTTGCTTAAAAATCTATACGAAAAAATAGTAAAATAAATTTAGTTATTTTTGACCTGTTAAACCCCGATTCTCTTTTACAGTGCTGTTTAAGTAATGTCTTTATTTGCGTTACTATTTTTTAAAATTAACCAGTAACAATACTAGAAAAAAATTATAATTGTTTTACTAAATTAAAATAAATATATACACCTGCTAAACGTTCCTATATGGAATCAACATTTTGAAAAGCAATTTCTTGTTAAAAAATGGTTAGAAAAAAGAGTATTGTAATAAAAAAAATTATAAAATTTGCTTTATTCGTTATTTTTTTGAAAGTAAAGAAGAATCAATGTAAGAAAAAGTAACGTAACGGGTATCACTTTCGGAAAGTAACGAATAGGATAACGAAGTTCCTTTTTTCGAACAATAACGGACATTAACGTTACATTTTTAAGTTACCTTTTATAGAGCACTGATTTTTTTTATAGTATAAAATTATACTATGTAGATCAGAAAAATATTCTTCGTCGAGAGATGAATATCATAATTGTCAATAGGGATAGTCTATTTCTAATATAGTTGTACCCTACTTGCTTCTGGCATCAATGAATTAGTATGGTCTCCTTTAACTGACTCTATAGGCATAATGCCTATTAATATTAGGGTTATTGAAATAAAATCCCAAAAATTTTCAAGGGTAAAACCAACAAATTTTTATTAAATTACTATAGACGTTGTTTTTCCTTACATTTTCCTCGGTGGTTATAATATAGTAGGGGGGTAATGGCTAAAAAAAATAAAGGCTAATTGAGGCGTGAGGTTGTTTATTCCTTCTTCGAAAACCTACCGTGATGGTTTTCAGCTGTTAAAACTAGGTTTCACCATTTTTCTGGCGGGCTTATAATCTATTTTCCAAAAAAATATAGATAATTCTTGTTCCTTCTTCAAAAGTTCTTTCCTTCCCATTTATAAACGAAAAATCGAAATCATTATTGCGAAATCGATTTGATTCAAATAATATTATACCTTTCTTTTCTGTTTCGATTTTGACTTTTTAAAGAAGGAAGAAAAAATAAAATAATATAACAACATAAAATAGTAGTAGTATAAGTTGATCAACTAAAAAAATATGGAATACAATAATATACGCGTGAAAATTACGTTACAATGTTGTCGTTACTCGTTATTGTTTTAAAAATTTTAAAAAAGGTGTAAAAAAACCTGTCTAATTTGAACCCTTTCCCAATCTTCGCCTAAAAGCGTGCTAATTTAATTTGAAAAACTTGTTTTAAACTAAGTTGGGAAAAAATTTAGGTGACTCAAGTCTAAAATAAAATTGTGACAAAACAAATTTATTTTATATATATTAAATAATCATATTATTATAACACTCTGAGTTATTGTGTTTTTTTTTTATAAAATTTTTTAGAAGTTAAGCTCTTTAATATGATAATTTTTAAGCAAATTTTTTTTAAAAAAATTGATATTTAACAAAATAAAATACTTTCCGTGAGGATTAAAAAATATTAAAATTAAAATATTATTTACAATTTATTGAATGTTGAGTGTAATGTAAAGTGTTTTCAAAGGATTATAATTTTTAAAAAAAACAGAATGATTTAAATGAAGAACGTATCTTGAATAATAATTTATTCATTATTTGGGTATTTTCGATCAAGAAAATATAAATAATATAGTATAGAGGATGTATATTTTTTTAAAAAACATACTCAGTGACATTAGTTAGATGCAGCCGCTCCTAAACCATAAATGTACTCCAAAAATTTGTAACAGGGATTGAAAATTTATATATTTCAGCTCTATATTTAACTAAAATTTACTTATATAATACAAAAAAAAACACTTTCTTTCCTTCCTTCCTTTCATTTCGCTCTCGCATTACGATGAGCGCGAATCCAAATTGGCTTATAACGATTTTTATTCCTCCAGCCAAATTAGGCCTTTACAAAAAAAGTTGATATAATATATTATTTCGAAATCATGTCCATTTTAGAATAAGAAAGTAAATTTTATTTAATTTGTAAATGGCTTTTCGATGCACTGTTTTGTTCAACCTATTAATTAATTATGATTATACATCTAAGATTGCATGATAAAATGCTTAAATTATTTTTTATTAAGTTGCAAAAAGCAAAAACTCTCTTTCTGTGTGGGTAGGGGAAGAGTATAAATGTATATGGATGTACTGCAGCCTCAAATGTGCTGTATAGATATTAAGGGATGCCATGCCTTTAAAACATTTTTAAAAAAACGATACAATGTAAGTTTTATTAGTACAAAAATTAAAATTTTACGTGGTAAAATATTCACAGGGCCTATTTATTATGAAATTATTTTTTGTTATATCAAATTTCTCAAATAATGTTAGCACTTGGAAAGATTAAAGTAATAAAATAAAAACATTAATATAAAGAGTATGAAAAGATTATATACAAGGCCAAGATTACAAATTTTGGCCAAGTGCTCATGGGCTAGAATTTCAAGCACGTTAAGGTTTTCATGTGGTTTATTATATAATTTTTATTGAATGCAATTTGGAAGAAAATATAATTATAATTTTTTAAAAATATTGATAATAAAATAATGTCTCCATTTATAATTTTTATTTAGATTAAATTTTCATTTATTAACAATATTTTGATTCGAAATTGTAATTTTTTATAATATGATTGGCTATAATAATATATTAGTTCTAATAAATTTTCAATGTTCCAAAAAAACTACAATAATGTATTTTAAAAAAAGCATCCCACCCCAGTAGAAAACTGGCTACACATTTTCCCCTGACTATTATTAGCCAAGCATGAAGCCAATTAGTACTAGTGGAGAGGGGAGTACTGGGAGCAAAGACCTAACAAGATGTTTTTGACATGTTTTAAATAAAATAACGGATATACCCTAGTCACTCCTGCTAAAATTCAAATGATATCCCCCCCCCCTTAATGTTAGAGGTGTCTGTCAAAACTAAAACAGCTGCAATATTATATAAATAGTGAAATTTAAAGATATATTATCCTCGTGCTTCAGAAACTATAATGTGAGATAACTTCCAATTTAATTATGCAGTTTTTTAAAAAAAATATTGCACCAAATATAAATATCAAATGCTTGGGCCTTAATTTTTGTAACCAATGTATAATTAAGATTATCAATCAAAATCAAAATAAATATTACTTTGTTCCTGGTTAGAAACAATCTCGACTGTTCCGAAATTTACATCGATCAAAATTTCATAGTTTTTGATATAATCAAAATTTGGAGCTAGGTAATTTGCGATTTTTAAATAATTATTTAAGCGTTTTGCTGTTGAATATATTAGAACCCATGAATTTTTTTCATTTATAAATGTGTCTCTCTCGATGATTTGAGTCAGAGTTAAATAGGAACTCATTACATTATTGAATTTAAGTTAATCGCAGAAATATTTTTTTAAAAAAAATTCGGCGGTAATAGGAATCATATGTTTTTTAAAATTTTATTATAAAGTGTAACAATTATCCACAAAAAAAACGTTAATTTTAAATAAGCATTAACAAATTTAACAATCATAACGAAATACAGAATATATATTATTAAATAATGTAACAAAATATTTAAATAAAAATATATAAACCCTTAGAAATATAAAATTATTAACAGCGTATAACTTTACTAAAAAAATCTGTATAAATATATATTTTTTAAAGCTTTAACAAAAACATTTATATAAAAATATTAAGAAAATAATACAAGGTTTATCTTAGCCATGCTAAAAATATATATTGGTTAAAATTTAAAAGATAAACAATCAATACTGGTGTTGTATATATATAATTCAATTAACAGCTATATTATTATGTTTTTTAATTTAATTATCGGAACTTTAAAACTGGATACTATCTTGCACGTAGGATTGTGAATCAAACCAGCATGACAAATTGTTGTTATTATTGTCTATATTTTTTATATCATCCGTAAACGTAAAATACCCATTTTCTTCATAAAACAGTTGTTGAGATGTTTGAGGCTAGAAAAATAGTGTATCAATTATTTTCAAACCCGATATTTATAATATTTTAAATTTTTACAAAAATTATATAATAGAATAAATCTGTATAAATAATAAGCTAGATCAGAATCTAAAAATCAGATATTTGATCCAATTTCCGTTTTTAATAAACTTTCAAAATTTATAATAAATATTTCTGATCCCATCCCGCTGATAATGCTATATTAAAAGCTGTCCGATTAAGAATTTTGCCAAAATAATATTACGTAAGCCTCGAGATTTACAAATAGAGGTCTGAACTTTTCCACCATCAACAAAATCTCCAGGTTTGTATAATCTTATTTTGGTTAAAATATTGATCAGGCCGTTTTTAAGCTCAACCACCATCGCTGAACCTATCAATAAAAATCTTCAACATAAATGATATTTCTAAATCTAAACCTAGTTATAATTAGTGGTTAAACGGCTCGTTTTAAGCCGATAAAACGGTTAACTCAATATTTTCGCCAAAAATATTGCCTAAGCCTCAAGATTTCGATAATATATATTTAAATCTTTGTTTCTTCTATTAGCAAAATCCAGGCATGCGTAATATTTTTCTGGAGGAAATATTGAGTTATCCGTTTTTAAAAATCGGCTCAAAACGAGCCGTTTAACAACACTTGTTATAATATATATCATTCCTAACTAATAATGTTATATAAGTTTTATCACTTAACCTTTAGATTAATATCAAAATAATCTGTTCTTTTGAAATGGTTTATATCAATATTCGCGCATACGTTCACACTACTAGGTAGATCTTTCTCTGATGTATATATCGTATTTTGTTGATAAGAAGATAACTTTTGCGAGTTATTATTTTCCATAAAAAAATTATCTTTTGAATTTAATTTTATGTCGAAATAATTCCCACCTCCATATAAATTTTCATTACTAACGCTTAAATTATTATAAGAGGTGTCATAAAACTCATTCATATTTATGGAAGAATTGCTTAAACTTTGCTTTCCGTTAACACTCGTGAAGACCTCAATGGGGCTCAATTTTTGAAAATCTCCAATATTGTTATTAATTTTGTTGTCATTCTTATGATCTATATTGATATTTATGTTGATGTTAGGCAGCTGGAAATCTTTTTTAGCTAGAGCAGAAGAACATAAAACCATTAAATTAGGATCGCAACAATTACCCGGATTGTTCACCAAATTAAAATTATTGTAATTTAAGTAATTATTATTGCATATAAAATTTGGATTAAAATTGTTTGTCTTCAGAATCGGTAAATTTAAATTGTTTTTGTATTTTGGCGAAGAATTCATCAAAAAATTATGGTTTGCCGACGAATTAAGTATTGCAGACGCGCTGTAGTCTGCTGTATTGTATAAAAAGTTATCACGGTTCATCAGCTCGCAAGATTGCATCTAATATATCAAATAGATAATTTATTTATAGGGCCAAATCCAGTTGAATCTACTTTTCTTTCAAAAATGTATTAAGATATAATTATTCAAACAAATAAAAAACATAAGGCAGTTTGCATATTTGTACATTATTGCTTACGGTGACGTAAATAGATATACGGTATAAAAAAAATATGTGAAATATAGTAATTACCGGGTATAAATCGTTATTAAAGGGTTCGATATACTGCATACACTCTAAAGCATTTTGATCCATGTGATGTCTGATAAATATGTTTTTAGATTTTATTGGTATGTTAATAAATAAGAATTTATCTATGCTTTTTATCGGATTCAACCGATTCATTTAAAAGAAGTTGTTAGATATAAGCAAGAGACTAGGATAAATCTCTAAGAGTTTATAAGTTGCTAAACGGCTCGTTTTGAGCCGATTTTTAAAAACGACTTACTCGATATTTATTCAGAAATTACACAAGCTTGAAGATTTTGGGCATAGATGGCACAAAGATTATCCATTAGCAAAATTTCGAGGTTCAGGCCATATTTTTTTTTGATTAAAATATTGAGTTAGCCGTTTTAAAAAATTGACTAAATCAAGGCATTTAACAACACTATTGTAGCTGGAAAATAGGTAAGGATTTATCGATAATCACCCAGCAGTCGTTAGAAGCTACGATTACTAGACAAAGAATAGCCGTCTAACAGAACTTAGAAGGCATAAAATGGAAACAAAGGAGCTGATCAAACCATGTTGTCGGATAATTAATGAACGAAGATAATCGTTAACATATAAAGAAGAGCATCTAAGCGTGGGGACCTAAATTAGATAGACTAATTCGAATAAAGGGTTTGGGCTAATTTAGGTGGAAGAGTCTGTTTCAAATAAAAGTGCCAAATGAAATTTAATTTTTTTTTTCAAACTTAACTATCCTTATTTCTCAACCGGTTAATAATAGGCCTCTGAGAGCTATTTTCCATTCATAAATTTATTTATTTTTCCTTCCCGTTTCTTAATATTATTTTCTAAAATCTTGAAACCAAATTTTGTATATATAAACAACAAAATTAGTATAAAGATATTATAATTTAAAAATATTCATTAGATGTAAATTTTAAAATACAATTTTACCAATGTCGACTATATAGATATAACATGTGATTTTTAATATATGTAATTCTTAATTTTAAAACTAATTGATAATTTATTTTTATTATAAAGAAATTTAAATTTTTTTTTAATTATGTGCAGATTTTTGATACTAGTTTTGTTTTACATTTAGAATTCACTATTATGATTAGGATCAGCAGTTATTTTTCTACTATGTCAAAAATTGATATAGAAAATAAACTATTTTTATCTAGCAAGTGGTGATTAAATAGTGAAATTTGGTTATTTAATTTAGATTTTCCTTATCTACGTCCTTATCTTTCACTATTTAAAATTTTGATTTTAATCATTGATTTTTTTAAAAAAATCGGGGTAATTTAAATCGCGATTTAAAACAAATTAATTTAAATCTGCCAACCCTAGTGTATATATATATTATTGACATATTTTAATGTAGAAAAATAAATGAACCTTTCATGGTGGTAGTCAGAGATTTTCATTTGAGTTTCATATCCCCTTGTTAAATATTTCTCTTGGGACGGGAAACTATAAATCCTAATTGTTTCTCTTTTCTTAAAAAGAATAATAAATAATTAAATAACAACAAATAATATTTTACGTGATACGTGATATCGCTTTTGCCCTTTGATGTTAAAAGTTCAACAGAGCTACACTAGATTTTCCTCATTTCCATCTAATTGGAACAAATTTAATTTGGGTGAAAAGTACAAATATGAGGAGCCCTCTACACGTTTGTGGGCATGCTGCACCTAATTGTACGCGCAACATTTCGAAAAATGTTGCTTAAACGTATATACGCTAATTAAAAAAGAGCTTATACCCAAGAACTATAGAATACATAATTATTTTAAGGGTGGGAGATGGATAATTTTAAGTTTAAAATATCTTTGTATGAGTACTGGTTGATTCTATATCAATTTTGAGAAGAATCTACTGAATTAGATTACTTTATATATTGGAGGATTTATTGTTTATCATAAAAAATTAAGAAATTAATACCGTGAAAATTTAGAATTTAATATATCACCTCTTCCCTATCTTTATAATAATTCGTTTTAGTTTGTAAAATCTACTAGAAATGAATTTGATAATAATATAAATAATATTTTAAATTTCAAAAAAAAAAATTTCGTTATAATTTTTATATTTATTTTAAAAATACTTGAATAAAAACCTGTTGAGATTTAAATCTTTTTAAATGATAATATAACATTTAAAACTGTGTATTCAAAGGATTTTAAAGATTTTAACAAATTATTTTGATTCATCAATAAAGTCAAAACACTCCAACTGATATATTGCATTTGCAGAATAAGAACAATTTGTAAATAAAGATCCAAAAAATAATAATTAGATAAATTTTTCTTCCGTTTCTTTATGCTAACTATTGTTAAGGCATTCTTAGGCAGTAATAAAGCATAAAAACAATGGCATAGATTTTAAAGTTAGTGCCTTCCATTGTTCAGCCACCTTTAACGGAGATGATATATATAATATATATCTTAAAAGCAATATAAAATAAATAATTACGGGAAAATAAAAAATGTTTAATCATAATTTTATCAGACGTAGACTTGGAATATAGAGCGTTGTTTGGAGTTAACCCCCACCACAATCTTATCCCCCAACTTAGCTGGATAAAATGGCTACACCATTGCTGCAGATTCTTATATGGAAAACCAAGATGGCATGAACCCGATGATTTATTTGTATTTAACGTTGCTTAAAAATAGGTAGGCATTAGTGTTGTTAAATTGCTTGGTTGTTGGGTCGAATTAGCATGATTTTTGGTTGGGTTTTTGGTCGAAAAAATGAACCAAAACCAAAGCAACCAAATTGGTCGACCTGGTCGACCAAATCCATAGACCCGAGCACCGACCCAAGCACAGACCCGAGCACCGACCCAAGCACAGACCCGAGCACCGACTTAAGTACAGACCCGAGAACCGACCCGAGCATCGACCTAAGCACCGACCCAAGCACAGACCCGAGCATCGACTCAAGCACTGACCCGAGCATCGACCCAAGCACCGCCACAAGCACAGACCCGAGCACCGACCCAAGCACAGACCCGAGCATCGACTCAAGCCCTGACCCGAGCATCGACTTAAGCACTGACCCGAGCACAGACCCAAGCACCGACCCGAGCACCGACCCAACAGACCCGAGCATCGACACAAGCACTGACCCGAGCATTGACCCGAGCATTGACCCAAGCACCGACCCGAGCACCGACCCAAGCACCGACCCGAGCACCGACCCAACCACCGACCCGAGCATCGACTCAAGCACCGACCCGAGCATCGACTCAAGCACTGACCCGAGCATCGACCCAAGCACTGACCCGAGCATCGACCCAAGCACCGACCCGAGCACCGACCCGAGCACAGACCCGAGCACCAACCCAAATCAACTTATAATATATTGTTAATGTTTTGCTCAATTTTTACATAGAGGACGAATATTTCAATAATAGTCTTTTTTTTAAATTGTATACTTATATTCAAAATTAAAAATTATAGGACGAGTAATTCAATTTCATATTAATTAAATAATTGATATGGAATTGAAATAATTACCTTCTAAGACCGGGAAAAATTTATTATAGGAATTTATCGATTTTAGATATTTATAATTCATATATCATCGAAAAATGAGGATAATTTATGTTGATTTAATTCTTGCCCTAAAGTTGTAAAAATTGGCTAAGGCTCAAACAGATTAGATATGCTGGCTCAGGAGTTGACATTAGTCACCTCAGGAGTTGACTCTAGTAGGCCCGACTTTAATTTTAAGCTTAAATGCATTTATTTGTTGTTTAACTCTAATTCGATAATGGATATTACAAATTAATGTATAGCCTAAAATTGCCTTCCCATCAAAATATTTTTACATTTATCCAAAATATCCCTCTAGCGAGTAGTTCTAGCTGATCTTTGCTCACATATATCGATGGAAAGATCCTTCAGTGCAATACGAAGTAACCACATTACGAAATAAATTTGACAAATACACTTTAGACGATATTTTAATCATAAAACTTAATATAAATTTGTTACAACGTTTTATCTTTTTTGATATTCATTTTATTAATATTTGTGAATAATTTTATATTTGTTATAGAATAAATAAAATAATTTTAATGAAATTGTTACGACTTTTGATAGTTTTGAGGGAATTTTTACGGGTCATTAAATTAAAAGTAAATAAAATATAGATTTAATCACTTGACAAACCATGATATTTTTTAAAATTCTAAATTTTGATAAATTTGCTTAGTCTATTTTTATAACACTTATTTTTTATGGATAAAAATAACCCCCCGGTCTCCCGTATTAGATTGAAACAATCTAAGTTTTATATTATCAGATTAGCTTCTGCATACAATTATTCCACACATAGCCCTTATAAAAACAAATTTCCAAACTTTTTAAATCGTTTTTAATTAATTAAAAACAGATAGGATGTACACACCACATAAACTAGGTTTTGAAGATGATTTTTGAATACTTTTTATCAGAGTTGGCAAGTAGGCCAATTGACCGTTCAATTTAAGTCAATTGACGGGAGGAGTTTTGACCTGGTTAAATACGGTCAAATACTCCAAAATATTTTAAGTGATAAAATTAATTTCAAAAGTATAAACGTCATGTTTAATAGTTAATTAAGGCAGTAATTTCTATAAGAAACAATCAATTCCCACCTAAAGTTAGTGGAATAAGCTATGCCCACCATGCCCATTAAGGGACTAATAATTCCTAGTTATACTTTAAAGAAATATGTCGATTTGGGATATTTTTACGAAAACAGAAATCGATTGAAGATTTCGACATCAGGAAAGATGGAGAGGATTTGATAACTTTATCTAGATATTTTTTTGGAAAAATGTTTACCCCCACCCTCTCATGATTTAAACCACCAGAAGACATAGATTAATGATTAATTTGAAAACTCAAATAATCATGCTTCACTTAAAAATAAAAATGTATAGTAAAAAATGCTGAGCTTTATATTATATTTTCTAAGAAATTCAATTTTGATAAAATTTTTACTTGGCAACTTTTGAGAATTCAGTAAAAATTACTTTAAGTAGTAATTCTGAGTAATTATGGGGAAAAAAATAATATATTTTTAAGGACTAACCTGATGTATTACAACAACTAAGCAATATATATTGGCTTACGCTTCATATTTAATGCTTGTCCTTGTGGCTAACTTCGTGCTTAAGGCTACTTGTTAATATTAGATTCAGATTCATATCAAATTCAAAATATAACTAATATTTTATATCTAAATATAGACAGAAAAGATAAAAAAAAATATATTATAAGGATCGCAAAATCATATGATTCAAAAATATTCTGGAATTGAGGAAATCCCTTTTAATTTAGATGTAATTGATTTTGAATCACCATTCAAAATCCGATAAAGACAGTTAAATGAGTAATGTTATAGTTTTTATTTTTATAATTGTTTTTGGTTAGTGATTGGCAAATGATAAATTTATAAATATTAAGTACTCATCAATTAATCTTTTTAAAATGTTTAAGAGTGAGAAAGTACAGATTAAAACGGCCTTTTTTTAGTCACACTTTAGAGTTAACATTTTAAAGCGAAAATAATCAGTAATACGTAGAGTTGTTAACATTTTTCTAAAAAGAAATCTTTTAAATATTAATTTAATAAATATTTATTTCAAATTGCATAATTAAGATTAATTTTTATATAAATAAACCATTTATCAATAAAAATATTTTAGTAAGATTTTCTGAAATTTTATTTAATTCTTCTTAATTTATAATTATTTAGCAATATAAATTATATATATTCAATTTTTCACCATAACAAATATAGTATAGTCTTATAAAATCGAGATATCTTATCTAATAAAATTCTGTATTTTTATATTAATATGCCAAGGTTCAAAATAGACCGGGGATAGTGTTATCACATTTCATTTTCCTTCAATTTTAATTATTGTAAAGAAAATAACTACTTAGTTATTCCACACCTAATCCAGGCATATTAAAAAACGAATACGAATAATTTGCTATTTGCATTAGAATAATTTGTTTTTAAAAATTATTTTAATTCGGATCAATAAAATTGACGGTTAGGTCCTAAGAATTTGAGTTGAGCTAATCCAAATAGCAATAAATTAGTGGCAACTTTAAGACTAAAAAGCGACTGAAAGTATTTATTTTTTTTATCAATGTAATGCTAATTAATTAGTTTGGTAGACAGTTATAAAAAAATAATTTATTTGTAAAAATAAGAAAAAATTGCTAAAATTGGCATCCTTCTTGAAGGAAAAATATGGTAATAGATATCTGGTTCACGCTAATATTTAATCGTGTCTGAACACTAGTTGGAACCAAAAAAAAAAGAAACCAAGTTGTGAACAAAATGAAAACTATGATTTAAACTTCAAGTGTAAAGTGATCCAATCAATTTTTTTCGAATATTTTTCGCGCACTTTTTTTAAATATAGTAAATATCTGAGATGATTTTATATAGATAGGAAATTAAAGCAGTTTGTTTTATCAATTTAAAGAAATAAAAAAAGGCAAATCAATTTTCGTCTAGATATCAATTATAAAAGTATTAAAAACACAAAATTTTACCGTCATAGTCACTGATCTCAGTCTATATATTATCATATATTATCTAATAAATTTAGATATTATGATGAATTATAGATATATTAACCATTATAGAAAACAAGAAAAAAAAATACATAAATTTATTTATGTTGATATAGCAAAAAAAGATCGAACTGGTAATTAATATACCCAATACTTAATATTTATATCCATGGATATGAACCGACCCTAACTCAGAGAAGAAACCCGGGTTTTTGGAAAAAATCTGAACCCGAACCGAATCACCCGGAAATTTTATTTGAACCCGGATTCAACCGGATAGTTTTTTAATTATGATTTAAATAAATAATTTTTTTTATCATTTAAAAAATTCTAGAACTAAACCCGGAACCAAAACTGGATTCAAAAATATTTCCCCAAACCTAACCCGAATCGAACCCACCTATTATTTTTTAAACCTTAAACCGAACCCGAACCGAATCCGGGCAAAAATTTTGCCGGTCGCATTCCTGTTTTTATACATTCACTTAGATAATCCTATAATTTTATTTTTAAATTTGGCATAGCAGAACGGGGATGGTATGATACCAAGATGCCAAAATACTTAGGGTGGTTAACTGGCTAACGTGACATATCATTTTTATTTATGTTTTGTATATGTTACAGTCAATTGGCACAGTAGCGTCACTTGGGGAGGGAAAGAGGGGCACTGAAAATTTTGAAAATATTAATTATAAATAAATAAAAATCAGGTATCACGGAATTCGCGTAACCAGTAGATACATGAGTTGACTGATTTATTTCTTAATTTCGCGTAACGCCAGTATAAAATTCAGAGATCTGCAGAGGTACCATTTTCACGACATGGCCCGGAGTTTTTTTTTAAAAATATATATATTATCTGAACGGTCTGGCCCGTATTTTATATTTTCAGACCAAACCTAGCCCGGGTTTTTCTTTAAAAAGAAAATTTTCGGCCCGGCCCGGATTTATTAAAAATATAAAAAATGTATTACATCTATTCTTAATTTTTATAGCTAATAATAGCGATTAAAAACGCGTATTTTTAAAAAAAAATTTTAGGGCCCGGCCCTGCTCTGCTGGTCTTTGATAAAAATTAATAATGACTCTAGAGTTCATGAAAAAATTGTCTCTCAGAAATGGAAAATTACCCAAAATTCTGAGCAAAAAATTGTTGAAGATCACAGAAGATCAAGATGGTTTTTTTTAAAAATTTACGATCTCATCAACAAAAATTTTTTAGGCATAAAAATCATGAATTCTTAAAAATTTAATTTTTAATGTAAAATTTGATTTAAAAAAAACATTTTTAAGCATTTCTCAAATAAATCTTCTTTTAATAAAATCTTCAGGGATCAAAATCTTTTTATTTTTAAGAGCATTTTAAACGCTGAAATTCTTACACTATTACTGGAATAGATTTCTTGGCAGTCAGATTTTTCAAATTTGAAAAAAAAAAGATCCACAAACAAATGATTGCACTATTTACCAACTTTTAATAGTTTATTTAAATCATTTTTTTTTAAATAAATTTTTTTGCAGGAAATGTGTCATTTTAAAAAGATTTTATTTTTATTGAATCAAAATCAAAATCAAATGCATTTGCAATACAAAAATCAAAACTTTACTTTAATTTTATTTTATTAAAATTTTCGAATATACAAACAAGGTCATCGGCATTCTAGAATTTTTTAAAGATTCTAAATATTAGCGACATTCTATTTTCTTATATCTATTTTTATTGGCCAATTTTGTTATTATCATCAATTCATCGCATTTGATTGGTTTATTTTATAATGATTCAAAAAAAAACCCTTAAATATTTCAAGTAACAGAGTGTTAAATAAATCAATATGGTCGACAATTTTGGGTAACAATCGATAAGTTGATTTTGAATAAGTGATTGATTATAAAAAAATTAGGGATTTTAATAGGCACATAATTATTATTTTTATTATTCTGTATATTACCTTTCTTCTTTTAACATCATTTGGTTTCAAGTATTCGATTTTTTCGTGTATAGGTCTAGCTTCGATCCCGTTTTCTTTATGGGCATCGTCAATATGTTGACCACCATTCTCGCTTACATTGTTAGAACTACCATTTTTTGAGGTGTTATTATTCATTAAGGAAGTCCTTTTTATCGTCTCCAATAATTCGGGATGACCTCGGATGAAATGTTTGTGAAAATATTCGTGATAATCTAATTCATCGTCAAATTTTCTTTTCGACTTCTTGAATTTGCTGTCATTATAAATCACGTTTTCAATGTTGAATAGCAAATAATTGTTGCCGTTGATCTCGGGATTGTTTACCATGCCATGATTTTTTCGTGTCGTCTGCGGGAAATCAATTTGTCCTCTATTCACCACATCTTCGTGTTTTTTTCTCAGTTTCGATATCTTTTTGAACCCGTAAAGATTGAGCTGCCTGATGAAGCTCGATATTTGCTTGGTATTAAATTCAACTTTGGTCTCTTTTTTGTCGTTCTTTTCCAGCGATTTTTTGAAATACTGATTTGTGTAGGAGTCTAAATACCTTTTTTCAAAGGATGGGAAATTGATTAATATGGATTTCCCATCCATTGCCCAATCTATCTCACCAGTTTGGCAGGTGTTGATAATTCTATATAATTTCATAGGAAAAGGTTCTACACTGGTTTGAGGCATGCTAGTCATTGATTTTAGATTTTATTTAAAAATATTTTTTAATTTTTATTGAGTTCAAAAATATAATTTTTTAAAAATATTAATAATTAAAAAAAAATTATGAATTATGACGGACGGGTTAAAATAATTTTAATTATAAATATTTTTTTTTTAAAAATCGTCTGTAAGTCTAGCAAGAAAAAAAAAAGTCACGTGGTAAAAAAGATATTTATTTTTGAAAATTTTAATTTCTTCACCATGAAACATCTTTAATATTTTATTTAGTCATTATTTATGAAGGATACAATGATCTGCATCGGAGCCTAATTTTTCAAGCCCGGTCAGTAATTTTTTTAAATAAGTTTGTCGGCCCGGCCAGAACCCTAAATTTTTTTTAGAAAAATTTACCGACCCGGCCCGACCCGGCCCGACCCGGCCCGACCCGGCCCGACCTGGCCCGACCCGAATTTATTTAAATGTAGAAATTAATTTTTTTTTAAAAAAATTATAATTACCCAACATAAAATATATATGTCATATGGTGTCTAGTTTCTATAAACATAATCAAATATTTTTATTTTACATAAAATATTCAACATAAAATAGATGAATTTAAGATATATTTTAAAAAAATTTCCAAGGCCCGACCCGGCCTTAATTTTTTTTAAGAAATATTAGGCCCGACCAGGGTTGCCAGATGTCACGATTTCATACCTAATTTTTTACTTTGCCCACGTTTTCTCACACTTCACGCTCTTCTCACGTTTTTTGAGTAAATTAAAATAATCACACTTTTTCTCACGTTTTTAAATTTTTTCAAAATATTTTTAAATATTTAAATGACTATACATTTCTTTTATGGATTTTATAAATCTTATATTAAAACTCGTATTTAAATGAAATAAATTAAGAGCAAATATTATAAAAGATCTAAAAAACAATCATCCGTTTTCAATACTAACGGATGCATAGAATAAAGGTAATATAAAAACATTTCCCTTATTACTTAGATAATTCAACAAAAAGAATGGAATAAATGTTTAATTACTTAAAAAATTTTCGTCTGACAGTGAAACCCCTAAAGACATATCTAGTCCTGGCTAGAAAATTTAAAATTCGCTGAACTTTATATTGCTAATGTAACGGCCTATTGTGCAGATAACGCATCTGTAAACTTTGGGAAAAATTAAAGTATTTGGACAGAATTGAAAAGCCATAGTAATAATATTATACCAATGGGTTGTATATGCCATATTCTTCAAATTTGTTTAAAAAGGCCATAATTTTTCTTAAATATGATATTGATAGTATAGTAATTAAATGCTATAATGAATTTAGCAACTCAACAAAAAGAGTTACAATTTTAAATGAATTGGTAGAATGGTGCAATTTAGAATGATCAGAATCACTTCGCCATGTTCCAATACGCTGGCTTACATTAATCCCAGCGATTAAGCGGATGCTTAAGTATTTTCAACCCCTTAAAGAATATTTTTTATCATTATCAGCAACCCCACCAATTTTGAAAATAATTTTTGGAGATGATTTTGCAAAGGCATATTTAGGTGTTGTCCTTAACGTTGGCACTTTAGTCAATAACATAAATTTACAATTTCTGAAGATGCATTGGCAATATATATACATGATATTATCCTAAAACTAAAGAATTCATTAAATTTAAAAATTCAACAAAATTTTTATGGGAGCATTTCATTTATAAAAAATATTATAGAATATGTAGAAAAACATTATGATATTATAGATAATATATGGAAATATCTTAGCCCTATGACATTAAAATAATGTCCAGAATTTGAACAATTACAAAAAATTATAAGTAATTATAAAATACCAAACATAGATACAGAAATTCTCTTTGAGGAATATTCACAATTTTATTCCTATTATGAAGAAAAATTATCAAAAAACTATCACATGAATACCCAAGAAAAATGGATGGATTTTCTTTCTAATAAAAACTCACCATTGATAGAGAAAATATGCAATTTTATTTTTTCTATTCCGGATTCAAATGCTTCATCCAGTGGCGTAGGCATTGGGGGGGGGGGGGGGTTTAAATTTTTTTTTTAAATTTTTTAATTTTAATTTAATAAATTCTTAATAAACGCTTGATTTTTATGTTTCAAATTTATTAATATACACATTTGATTATTTTTATATTTATTTTTGGTTTGCAGCTATTTCACACCACCCAAAAAAAGGAGTTATTTATTCAAACGTATCATGATATTGACTCAAAAAATCAAAAAAAAAAACTAAAAAGATTTTGTCCGAACAGATTTATTGAAAGACAAGAGTCGGTGAAACTCTTTATTGAACTATATGATGTTGTCTTTGCAGCACTAGAATTTTATATATCAAGCAAGGAAAAAGATTAAGCAGATGCCGAAAATCTTTTGCAGGCTATTATTAAGCCACAGTTTTTAATTTCAATTCAATGTGTTTATTTTTTATTTAATTATACATATGATTTTAGCAAAATGCTACAAAAAATTGATTTGGATTTAAGGGAGATTATAAATAGAGCAAAGGATATTGTTGAAATATTAATAAATATCAGAGAGAATGTGGATGAAAAATTTCATGAAATATATGAAAAAGTAAACAAGATTGCTAATATGTTTGGAATTGAAATTTTTAAACCTATAGTAGTCTCTAGACAATCCAATCGATCAAATATTGATGCATCTGCGATTGAGGATTTTTATAAAATAAACATTTTTATTTCAATTAAAAGAAAGATTTATTAGTCATAATTATATTTTAAAAAGCTTTTATTTTCTTTTGCCGGTTGAGTCTAAATTATTGATTACACTTGAAACACGAGAGGATATTAAAAAAAATCTCAGAGTTTTACGCTGATGAGTAGGTTCATATGATAAGTTACTTTGTGATGTCGAATTTTGGTATAAAAATCTTGACAGAATAGGGTATTCTTTGAGACCAACGAATGCTCTGCAAACCCTTTCCATGTGTAATTGCATTTTAGATTCCCTGCCTAATATCAAAACATTATTACTTATTTTAGCTACTTTACCAATTAGTACCTGCACTAATGAAAGGTCTTTTTCAACTTTAAAGAGGTTAAAAACCTATTTAAGAAACACAACCTGTGAAAAACGTTTAAATGAATTAGCCCTATTAAATATTTATAAGGAGATTATTTTAGATAAAAATTTGATTCTAAAAGAATTATCAAAATTTCAGAGAAAAGTAGATCTCTCTTTTTAAATTCATCAAAAAATAGCAATAAAATTTTATTAGTTTCAATATATAATCAATTTTTTTTTGTAAAAAAAGTATTATTTATAAGATAATATCATCATATTTTTTTAAAATACCATTATTTGCATAAGAATTACACATATTTTATATAATTGTAAAAAATTACTTTTTTTAAAATAGTCTTTATACATTATAATTTTTAATATTAAAATATTATATAAAATATCATAATTTTGAAAATATTTTAATTAATATAAATATATATATGATTAAATAAAGGAATGTAAAATATATAATAAAATAACAATTTTAACAAATCCAAAAATATAAGCAATTAAGTGTTCAAAAAAAATAGGAGGTTTGGGGGGCAAAGCCCCCCGGGAAAAATTAAACCCCCCCCCCCCATGACAAAATCCTGGCTACGCCACTGGCTTCATCAGATAGAATATTTAGTCTAATGACTACTGCGTGGCGAAAAGAAGATCATCTTTGGAAGCTGAACTTATGGTTAAACAAAATATAACTATTCATGCAAAAAGTTTTCAGCCTATCTCCACAGTGCCGATGGGAAATCTTTATTGCCTCTTTTTTAAAATCATCCATAAAATATAATAATTAATATTATGCTATATTTATAAACATGAGAAAATTATATATCATAATTGTTATTAGTAAATCAATAAAGAATTTTCATTGTCTTTAAAATCTTGTTATATTAAATATAATATATTAACTTAGATGAGTATGCTACATCAATTACCCCGACCGAAGGCCAGGCAAAAGCAGGACGAAGGCCCACAAATTGGGGGGGGGGGGGGGTATGAGGGCGAAGTCCTCATTAATTATTATAAAAGAAAGACTCACGTTTTCAAGTGAAGAATATCTGGCAACCCTGGGCCCGACCCAACCCGAAATCCGTTCGGCCAGGCTGGGCCTATTTTTGCAGATCTCTAATACAAGATACAGTTTGCATTTGACTTGATTCTCTAATAATATAGAGAGTTTCGAAATCGCTAAAAATCGAGGATCTTGCTTATCTCGTACAAAGTTTTTATGGCACTAATAAAAATAATGCTTAATAGAAGTTAAGCAAGTAAACATTGACGTTTAAATTGAGTTTTCATTGAAAAACAAATCTTTAAAATGGGGAAAATATCTTCAATATTCCCCAAGATTACTAAATTAAGAATATTCACGTTTATTTTTCACATTTTTAGCTTAATATTCTTTTCCATTATTGATTTAAAAATTTTCTATGAGTTATAAACAAAATTCCCTAATTTTAGAAATTTAGATCAGGATAAAATTTTCCTAAATTAATCAGGGTGGTTCACTTTGGGCCCTTGTCATAAATGAAGCTTCTAAGAAGCAATATAAATGCTTATTAAAGAATGAAAGAAATAAGGAAGGAAGGAAAGAAAAAGAAAATGGAAGTGTTTATGAACAGATTTATTCCAAGTTTGAATTCTTTAGTGAACTTTTAATTAAAAATAATAAATTTATAATTTTTTTGAAATTAAAATTATTTGAAATGAACTTGAATTCATTCATAAAAAAAAATAATATTTTTCGTGGTTAAAAATAAATGATTAATTAATTTAATTGTACTTAAAATTATATATAAGCAAAATTAATCAATCATTAACATCCAGGTTTAAAAAATCTTGAAAATTTCTCTAAAAATATTTAATATTAAAATAGATGATTATTACTGTTCAAAATGAACTTAAATTAAAAATTGTATTTTAATTTTTTAAATTTAAAATTGTATTTTAATTTTTTAA